ATGGAACGAAACGAAGCTGCTGCCAGGTGGGCTTGGGGGGTTGGGTCAGTCACCCAGCAGTGGCCTCGGTGGCCCCAGGAGAATGTCACTTCAGATCATGTCTGCCTTGGGGGCTCAGATTCTGACCAGATACCTGGGTCCCTGTGCAAGCCTGGGGCTGGCTGTGGTGGGAGGGAGGAACACAAGCCCATGCCCAGGCTGCCCCCGGGTAGGTGGTTCGGGGTCTCTTCCCTCTGAGGGCTCTTCCCACACCAGCTGCCTCGACTCAAGGGGCTGCCTCCTCACAGGGTGCCATAAGTGGCAGGTGGTGCTTGGGGAACAGTGGTGAGGACTTGGGCGCTTGTTAAAATCGTCAGGCCAGCCCCACTCCTAGAGAGGTCTCAGAGTGGGGTGGTGGCTGGGGATGTGGGGCCCCCGCCTATAGCTGGAGCCCAGGCCTCAGGACAAGGCCTCCACCTGGGCCCTGGGGAAGGGGGCAGTGGGCAAGCACGCCTTAGGAGCTGCCCGCCTGAGACCATTTGCATCTCTGTAAGCATTTGTGCTGTCTCTCTTGTCTGCATGTCCCCATAACTCCCCAGGGAGCCAAAAGGGTTTTTTTTCCTTTTTTCTCCTTCTGAAAGGTTAGACCCCAGAGTCTACACCACAGAGCATGGGCCAGCAGTCCCGTGGGTTTGAGCGAAAGCAGAGGGGCTGGTCGAGTGCTGGCCAGGCCCTGGGGCTGCAGTACAGTTGAACAGGAGCAGGGGGAAGGCTCTGTCCTGCCCCTGCTTGTACGTGGATCAGGAAGACCTGGGAGCGATGCTCTAGCCAAGGAGAGCCCGGCCTCGAGGCTGGCTCAGGCCTCTCCCTGCACCTCTGCGACCTCACGCGCCTCTCACGTGCTGTCCCTGCCTCTCTGGCTGGAGCTGTTCTCCACGTCGCAGGCTGTGAGCTGGGCCTGCAGAGACGAGTGTCCATAAATGCGCCTTTATCCCGACATCTCTGCTCTCAGGGGTAAAACCACTCTTTTCTCTGCTAGCTTTTATATAATTGCAATTTATTTTTATTCTGTGTCCTTCCCACAGAATTTCCACAGCTGCCTTCTGCAGTTCAGGAGGGGCAGGTGCTGGGCTGAGACACCCAGCCTCATGTGCCCATCGGCCCTCGGACACCCCTTCCCCAGCTACACGTTCTCTGCCCACCCCGCACTGGCTCTGGGCTCTGGGCAGCAGTCTCGTCCTCTCCTCTGACTCCGGCTTGTCTACCTCCATCTCCTTCCTCTCCTGTCCCTCACCAAGGACTTGCCGAGGCCTGTTGGCGCCAGGCCCGCGTCCCCACGTCCCTGCAAAGGGCAGCAGTCGGAGGCTCAGGGAGGGGTGCCAGCACTCCGGGGAGGGAACGGCCACTCTGCCTGGAGCAGCCGGGGATCTAGGAGGGCACAGAGGAGGGGCCCTAGGTGCCAGGCAGGGAGGGTGGCCACACGTGTGGGGGCAGAGGGGAGACGGTGACTTACAGGGAATCTTCCTGGTTGGTGTGGTTGGAGTCCAGGATTCACGGGGCAGGAAAGGCAGGAGATGGGGCTGAGGGTGGGGCAGGGCTTGAAGGGCCTCAGCACCTCTTTGCAGGGTACTTGAGAGCAAGGCTGCCGGCTGGGGCCTCATCCCTCAGGGAGCACAGAGCAGGTGGTGCCTGTGGCTGGGGCCAGGAGCGCTGAAGGGCCACGTGGGCCCTCTGCTCGCTCTGCCCACGTGTCGTCACCAGCAGGCCAGGTCTGAGGGGTGGGGCGCAGGGTGGTCACACACCCCGGGGCCCTGGGGGAGCTTGCCGGGCCACGCAGCGTGGGCCCCACGGAACCTAGCCCAGGGAACCCTTGGCTCCTGTCTCGGTTGGGAAGGAGGCTGCATGAGAGCAAGTGGCAAGAAAGCGATGACATTTCTGAGGCGGAAAACCCATCTTTTATTTATTTAATCCAAACCATCATGTGAATTATTCATTCACGTTTATGTAAGCGATTGAGCTACAGGAATAACGGGGAGGTCAAAAATGTTGACTTTTATGTGCCCTGAGTCAAGGGATTCTTCGCAAATCTCCCTTCCTGAGCCCACTTCATTAAGGTGGGCCTTACCTGAAAGCTGGGCCCCCTCCCCACCTGACCGGGCAGATCGGAGTCAGGCCCCCTCTTACCCGAGAGTCCATGTGGCCTTGAGGAAGTCACTCCCCTCCACACCCCCTACTGTTACCTGTTGATCAGTGTTAGGCCTGCCTTGTAGCAGGGGCCCAGCAGCTACTGGGCACGTGGCAGGTGCCCAGAGTCTGCCCCCCAAGAGCAAGTGCGGCAGCACTGACTCCTCCCAGCCGGGTGGCAGGTGCCCAGAGTCTGTCCCCAAGTGCAAGTGCAGCAGCACCAACTCCTGCCAGCTGGGTTGCAGGTTCCTGGCACGTGTTCCACGTGCCTCCTTCCTCACCCCAGCCCACGCTGACCCACCGTGGGCTGGGTCTCGTGCAGACTTGGGCCCTGACTACAAGGGTCTGTGAGCTGCACAAAGGCAGCTTTGATGTCTATGGAGACAGGGGGCTATTTTTTCCTCCAAGGTCAGGCTGCATTTATTACCAAAATTTAATTTTTTCCCTTTGGACATATGAGATATATTAAGGGCAGTGCGTTCCCTGACAGGGGAAAAATATTGCCTCTGAAGAGTGGTCAGTGAATTCTTCCTTCTGTACGTAGGTTTTCTTCCTGCTGATGGCTCTGCATTAGGGAAGATTGACTGAGGGACACAGGGAAGGTATTGGGGTCAGAGCTGCCAATTAACCTTCAGATTTCATAGCCTGATTACCCGATTAATCAGGTTCTGAGCCTGCGTCCTGACGGAGGGGCTCTCAGCTGTGGAGTGACAGTGTCCGCCAGGCCATTTGCGCCAGCAAGGAAGGGTGAGGCAGGACAGGCCGCTGCAGTCCCACAGGTGGACGGACGTCATGCAGCCGTCTGCAGACTGGCTGGGTGTCGTACGGGCCCCATCTCCTCCCAGCCCCTGTGGAATCGGGACCCCTCACTCAGAATGTGGGCCTGCACCAGGCTGCCTGTGCAGAAGCCAGAGCGTTGCAGAACTCGAGAGGGCTGAGGCCGTCCGCAGCCCTTCCTGTGCCCTTCCTCTCTGTGGTCAAGGACTAATCTCTTTCAGCCTCAGTTTCGTTGTTTGCGACGTGGGGACTGTGTTCGTACCTAAGCCATAGCAACGTGTCAGGGAGTTGAGTGTGTGCGTGTAGTGTGGCGTGGTCATCTGAGTCCACGCTCTTGGCAGAGGAGTGCCCGTGAGCCCTGCGCTCTCCGAGGACGATCCTTCTTAATCTTGGTGGCGGCCTCTGAAGGCAGCTACTTCCCTGTATTCCTATTTCAGGAAGGTCCTAGGAGATGGGAAGGGATGGGTTCAGGGTCACAGGTCAGGAGGTGGCAAAGCTGAAGTGGGAACCTCCCTGGCCCCCGGATCTCTGTTTTCCTCTGTACGCTGTGGGCTTCTGATCTCCACTCAGCCCCTGTCCCTGGAGTGCAGGCTCCCCGGCCCGGCTGTGTCCGTCCACCTTGACCTGGCCCCTCCAAGCCTCGGGCCACAGCACACGTGCTCACCGTCGGTCCCTTGGTCTCAATGACTCCATGAACTGGCCAGTAGGCGCTTGGCTTTGTCTTCCATCACACACTTCTCCCGAGGGGCACAGAGGGACCCCACGCTGGTCCTGGTCGGGTAGAGCCCTGAGGCCTTCAGACTGTCTGATTCGGGGCCAGCCTTTCCCTGGGCACTGCCTAGGATCGGGATCCTCAGTTTCTTCCGAGCCACATGGCTGTGACCACCTCTTACCTCTCCTCTCTTGGCCCAGCCAGAGAGCCAGTTATCACTGGCCAGTTGTCACTGGGCGCCCACGCCAGTCCCGTGATTCAAACTGGGGAGGAGGGAGGTGGCGGCCAGCCTCCGCTCATACTGCCACAAGGCAGAGCAGGACTCAAACCAGGTTTTTCTCTCACCCCTGTAGCCAGCTGGCTCCTGTCCCCACCTGGAGTATCACAGCCCCTGCAGGGGCTCCCGTCCTCAGCTGCAGATGAGACCCCTGGGAGGGGACAGCTCCATGCGTGTTTAAGTGGAGCCAGTCTCGATAATTAATGGGAAGATAAATGGAGGCTTAATTACTTGGAAGGCACCTTGGGTGAAAGATTCATGGTGCCCGTGCATTCTCCTACGGCTCCCCGCTGCCGACTTCTCCCCGGGTGGCAGTAAACCACGGCAGGCAGGAGTGGCGGGGCAGATGCTGTAGGTCCAGGCGGGGCTGACTGTCTTCTCACCGCTCAGCCTCAGGGCCCACCCAGACTCTGCTGCTGCTGGCACCCTTGTCACCAGTGGTCTCGTCTCCGAGGTGGCCTCTGCAGGTCATGCCTTGGGGTAATGGCCTCCTGTCCACCTGCCTTCACTGCTGCTCGTGCTGGCTCGTGTGGGGCAGGCGTCCGACCCCTGCGAGGACTCAGGCAGCAGCCTGGTAGCCCAGGAACTCTCTCTCAGCATCGCTGGGCTATGCATGTGAGGTCTGGGAACTGTCTGTCAGCGTTACCAGGCTGTGTGTTTAAGGTGTGGGCTTTCAATTCAGGGCCTGGATTCCCGGGGCTCTTTCCAGAAGAACATTCTCACCTGACATCTACAGCAAGTGGGGACAGTCCACCCCAGATCAGGACTAAACCTCGGCTTCCTGACAGCTACTTGGGTGATTTCAGACGTTGCCCGTTGTCATTCGGCAGGGACCAGACCAGTAGAGCCTGGAGCTCAGACTGGTGTCTGGCTTCCTCTCTCTTAGAGTTTCAGGGTTGACTGTGATAATATTACCATCGTTACCCTGGAAGGGCAGACTTAATCGCCTTGTCCCTTCCATCGGCGCAGATCAAGGCCTGCTGAGTGGGTGCCAGCCCTCGTCCACCCCAGGGAGCTGGAACTCATGCATGGCCTCGGGCTCACCTGTCTCCTCCCCTCCCTTCCTCGCAGAGCTGAGGAAGCAGGTGGAAAGTGCCGAACTGAAGAACCAGCGGCTGAAGGAGGTTTTCCAGACTAAGATCCAGGAATTCCGCAAAGTCTGCTATACGCTCACGGGCTACCAGATCGACATCACCACGGAGAACCAGTACCGGCTGACCTCCCTATATGCTGAGCACAAGGCTGACTGCCTCATCTTCAAGGTAGGCCCCTGCTGTGGCCACAGGGAGGGGAGAGAACAGGCTGGCTAGAGCAGCCGTGTCACGATGGCATGGTGGGCTGTGGCCAGAGGGAGACGCACTGGCCGTGTTCTTGTCATCCTTGAGGTTTCTGAATGTTGGGCCACCTCCACTTGACAGTTCAGCCCTGCACCTTCTGGGAAGGAAGGTCCATTCCCCCTTGACTTCCGTCCTTCAGTCTGCCTTCTGCATGCTAATGCTTGGGCTCTGTCCTGGTGAGGGTTAGTGGAGGACTAAAGTGATGGCGTGAACGGTGGGACAGGGCCAGGCAGGTAGGGCACCTTTAGAGCAGCCAGGCTCTGCAGCTGGAAGCCAACATGAGACATGGTAGCCGAGAAAGGAGAAGAAAAGCTGGCGTATCTCCATGCTCAGCATGGAGCAAACAGGATGTGCACTTCTGAAGTTTGCTGGCAAAGCCAGCACAGGAGTCCTCAGGCTGCAGGGGCTGTCTGTGCAAGCAGGAGGGGTGGGGCTGGTGGAAACCTCCTTACCTGTGTGTGCCTCGTGCCCGGTGCTGATTTGGGAACAGCAGAGCCTTGTGGGATTGGTGTGTGCTGTGGTTGGGGCGCTTCTGGGTTCTGGGCTGGGACAATTGGGATGAAGAGTCCTCAGGGTGAGCGAATTCCAGTAGCAGAAGTAGGGGCATTACTGTGTTGACCATAAGGGCAGAGGTGGCCCCACATGGACATCAAGCAGCTGGAAATCTGGGGTGACAGGGACTTATCTGTCACTGCCCATTCACGGAGATGGTGTTGTGGACCCGGCAGGGCGCATGGTCCTGGCATGGCATGTGGCTGCTTCAGGCAGGGTCGCCTGGGCAGTGGTGTGGGAGGTCAGGACAGGCAGAGACCGGCCCCACTGTGGACTGCCGAGGTATGGAGTAGGCTGTCTAACCGGCCTGCACAGCTTTGTAGATACAAAGAACCAACTTCCATTTTTACAAAAAAGCTGTACCTGGTGTGGCCTATGTATTCCGAGCAGAATTTAGCAGTGGAGGAAACGTTGCCTCTCTTTTCTGGTCTTGAGCCTGGCAGTGCCCTCCTCGCTCCTTCCATGTAGGGCACTCTCCGGCTGCAGCCCAGTGGCTCCCCAGGCTCACTTTCTTCTAGATTTTCTCTGACTTCTTAGATCACATTCATCCATTTTTGCACTCCTTGAAACTCTCAAACCTTTGAGTAAGTAAATATTCAGGCACTCAAAGTCTTTAAATAAATAAGCTATCAGAGATGTACTTCCTTTGCTTTTGTATAATTCTGTATACTTTTGAATAATTCAGGATCACTGATAGATGTTTAATTTAATACATTGTACAAATTCCATGGTTTTTTAAAAAAGATTAGGTAAATAAAGATGTACTTAAGAACAGTCACTATTTAACATATCACTTGTCATGTCAACATTTATAAATTAAGAGGCATAGTTTTCACTGGATTCTTGCATATTTTTTAGCTGAAGTGATTGATCTCATGAAAACTACCTCCAATGAAAGCTTGGGAAAACACTCCAAAGTATTTCGTATTTAAATTGTTGAAAATCCAAAAAAGAAAAACAATTCACTTATAATCCTCCCTCCCACAGGCAACCGCTGTTAACACTTTGATATGTTTCCTTTCAGTGTTTTATATGTGTAGGCAAATATGTAGGTTTATTAATTTAAACTTACAAAATTGGGACCCTGGGATTATATTGTTTATACACTTAACTACGCTTAATCTTAGCCAAAAGGCCAAAAATCAATTATTTTTTAAAACAGTGTCAGCAAGTAGCTTGGCTGGCCTCGACTGACACTCTTGTGCTGCAGATGTTCTCGTCTCCTGGTGCCTGAACGGCTCCTGCGGGGGGTGTCCTCGGGAATGGCGATGGGGCGCTGGGGGCAGCAGCGTGTGCAGGCTGCAGCCTCCTCTGCCTGTGGTCTCTCTTCCCTGTGCCTCCACGGGCAGAAGGCACAGCTTCTGGAGGTGGCCTGAAGCATTGCGGTCCCTGCAGATGTCCTAGAAAGCTACACTTGTGTGTTCCTTCAGAGCCCCCGTCATGCCAGGCTCTGGTCCCCGAGGGGCTTCTCTCCCTTGTGAGGCTAGCGGCCTCTTGGGGAGCCTCCAATTAGATGATGAGAGGACAATCTTGGGGCTGCCGAGCCTCTGGTAGGAAGTTTCTAGCCAAGACACCGTCCTCCCTCATCCTTGCCACCTCCATACCCAGGATGCTGGGCTCGGAGACAGGAGGACGGCACCAGTGCACTCACAGCAGCCTCTCGCTCGCTGGTGCGAGACTTGGCTGGAGGAGAAGGCCGCTGCAGACCTGCTGGAGGGACAGACACACTGACAGGCGCAAAGGGGGAAAGACAAGGAGGAGTAGGCTGACAGCGGACAGCCTGCGGGGCCCAGCCCTGCGGGCACCTCCTGCAGACGGTCGCTGACCCCAGGGGAGCCAGGCGGCGGTGGTCCCTGCCTCAGCACTGTCCACAAGGGCCAGGGCGGTCCCTAGAGCCCAAGGAGACGAGATGCCCTAGAGCCATCCTACCCACCCTGCAGCCCCTGACCTTGGGTTTCGACCTAGGCCAGGCCCCAGCGCTCCTGCGGGACTCAGTTTCCCCATCTGCCGTGAGGAGTGTGATCTGGATGTTCTCTGGGGTCTTCCTGACTCCATCCTCCTGCGTTCAGAAGGGCTCCCCCAGAGTGGAGCTGCAGCTGAGTGCCCTCAGGGAGGGAACACACGCGGGAACTAGGCACCAGCACCCAAGGGCAGGGAGGCTCCCACCCACCCCTCCTGGGGCTGGTGCGCACGGGCTCCGTGGCTGTGGAAAGATCACACCAAACTACACCTAGTCACTTCCGCTCATGTTATTTATTTTCCCAAAAAATGATTTTTCCGGCAGGACGGGAGCTAAAGGCAGAGTTAGAAATAGCTGCGCCTGTTTCCAGTTGAGCGGGCTCTGCAGATGTGTGCTGGGATAATTGTGGGTTTGCTGTGCAGCCCCGCGTCTCTGCTGAGGAGGAAACTCGGGCTCCCTGTCCCGGGGACCGCGTGGGTGGGGAGAGCTGCCCGCGCAGGGCTGCCGCGTGGGGAAAGGCAAGAAACCTCAGCGCCAGCTCTTCCAGCGGGAGCCCGGCAGCCTCCGCGCCTCTCCCTCCCGGGGAGAAGCAGGTCCCAAGTCTTTGGGGTTTCCCTGGAAAGGCTTTGGCCCTACCTGGGCCTGAGGGGAGGGGTGGGAGCCGGCAGGCCATTGGGTCCTCAGGGCTCCTGGTCTCTCAGGGACTCCCCCCTCCACCCCCAGGACCCAGGGAAGGAAAGCTGTTCTGAGAATGAGAAAACTGACTGTGAGAGTGGGAAGTTGAACAACCAGGCCAAGGTCACACAGCAAGTACAGCGTGTGATTTGACTATTTCGCCTGCATTTCCAAACCTGTGAAACGGTCTGTGGCAATACCAACATAAGGGGTTAGTTACGTGCATGAGGGGAGACGATATACAGGTTGAGCATCCCCAATCCAAAAATCTGAAATCAGAATACTCCAAAATCTGAAACTTTTTGAGCATTGGTAAGCTACTCAAATGCTTATTCGAGCATTTCAGAGATCAGATGTTCAGATCAGAAGTGCTCAACCAGTAAGTATATAACACAAAGAGCCCAAAATCCAAAAGATTCAGAAATTACAAACATTTGGTCCCAAGCATTTTGGGTGAGGGGTACTCAGCCTGTATGTGTATAAGTACAGTCATGCGTTCACGTCCACATCTCGTCCCTGGAAGGTCTTCATGGACAATGACCCACGTGGAGCTGTTGTCTCCCGTGACAACAATGCTTTCTTCTGGATACCTCCCGAAGGACTGGCTGCCTGAGGCCATCTTACAGTTAACTTTGTTTTAGCAGGTAGAAGGAGCCCACTCTAAAGCAATAATACGTGGTGTAGCCAGCACATAAACCAGTGCCGTTGTCTGTTACCGTTGTCAAGCGTCACACGCTGGGTGTGATTGTACGTGCTGTGCTTTCACAATGCCAGCACGCAGTAGGTTTGCATCAGCACCACCGCAAACGTAACGGCTACGAGGTTACCAGGTGTTAGGAAATTTTCAGCCCCGTTATAATCTTACGACTGCCATCACATATTCAATTCCTCTTTGACCAAGATGTCGTTATTTGGTATCTGCCTGTGCGTACAGCATGGCGGGGCCAGCACCTGGCTCCTCGCAGGGCTCCAGTAGGGCGACAGCCACAGGTCCACTCTGTAGAGCAGCACACCCTCCTGCCAGGATCTGCCATAGTGGGGGCCATGGGCGCAGTGAGACGGGCTGGGGCACTGGGGCTTCAGGCACGTTGCTGAACCTCCTCAGTGCTCTCAGGGACGAGGAGCTGATAAGCAGTGCAGCGGCCTCCCATCTAGGGCCCATTCGTATGTCCCCCTCCCTCTCCCCCGTGTGGCTGCGTGGGCAGCATAGGGCCAGCTCTGTGGGTAAGTTGACAGAATTGGGGTAAGTAATCCTGGGGTAAGTAATCCTGGGTAAGATCCAGCCCAGGGACACAAGCCCCTCTCCCAGGAGAGGATCTGCCTGGGGGACCCAGGAAGGCCTTTGTGCCGGGTCCTGGGAGTGGCGGCAGCCCTGCGGGACACCTGTGCGAGGCCTCCACACAGCTCTGGGCTCTGACACCTCTGTGGTGGCTGGACCTCTGCTTGCTTGGGGTAGAGGAGAGAGCGGGAGGGTGGAGGTGACATGGAGCACCAGCCTGGGGGTCTGAAGGTGGGGGCAGGCCCAAGCCACGACACCTGCAGGAGCAGGGAGTGGGCCTCCCAACCCTGCAGGGGACATGCAGCCCAGGGAGACCCAGGCTAGACTCCCGCCTGTGGAGCTGTGAGACCACGCCCTCGTGTTGCCTACCACGCTCGGTTTGTGATAACTTGAAGGGCAGCAATGGAAATGAACGCAGCTCCGAGTCCACTGCTTTGTGAGCTTGGGGAGGCCGTGTGG